CTTTCCCTAACATCTGAAGGTAGAAAGCATCAGGTATTCCTATCCTGTTTATCTTTGTCTAGCACAAGAAAAAGAAAGGTCAGTCTACTTCAGAGGAAGAATTGGAAGGTCTGGTGGAGGGATGCCTAAAAGACATCGAGAACATCTTGCTGAAATACAGCAATTACTAACCTTTAACCACTAAAGCTTGCTGTGGAAGATAAAAGGCACTTCCGTCAATCTGCCTGCGCAAAACCACCCCAGCATGAGGCAGAACAAGCAAAAACTGCTGCAGTCAGGCAGGCAGGTAGGTAGGTAGGTAGGTAGTAGGCAGTACAATAAAACAATTGGGAAGAGTCAACAGCAGGACACTGGTGATCCTTATAAAAAGGAGGCGAGCGTTGATCCCCCCATGCTGGGTCCTAGCAGGCTGCTCTCAGGGTTTGGCAGTGCAACCTAGTCGGACAGTTACAGACAGCTGCTTGATAGGAGCTGGACCAAGTCCTCCAATTCATAGCAGCCAGGGCTACAAACAGCTGTCAGATGGTTGGCAAGACTCACACGAGCATGCTACGTCTAACAGATGCTGCTGCTTGGCACTATTTGAAAATGCTTCAGTATTACCAGTGAAATGGAAGTAAAGTGCCAGGAGACAATATCTCCCATGCTCTTCTGCAGTTATTAAGCTAATTGGCAAGATCATGATTCCTTTCTTTCTTAACAATGATACCTGCCAGCTGTATTAATGGCAAGAAGAACAGCGGCAGCACCCAGACACACACCCTCTCTCTGCTGCCAACTTTTTACCTTCAAGTGTTTCTGGACCCGTTCATTCTTCTCCGCTTCAGTGGTGCGCTCCTCCTCACTGCGGTCCTTGATGGTGGCCTCCGACCGCAGCTCAGCACTGGCCTCTGCAGCATTCTCATCCTGCTCGTCATCATGCTCATTCTCAGAGTGCATGGGCTCAGTGACGTGGGGGGTGCTCATGGCAGTCTTCAACTCCTCTTTGGTCTTTTCTAGGTCCTCCTGCACCATCTGCGCCTGCAGTAAGACACACCGCAGTGGGTTAGACAATGCAATCCTGAAGACAAGGTTTCTTTGCAGTGCAAAAGACTTCTGTCCAGAAGTGCACAGAAGCACTACTTAGTGCATATAGCAATCCCTGCAGCTATTGCACACTACAGTGATATGTTCCCAGTCACCAATCACTTGCAAAACCTTCTGCTGGCTAGCACTTAAGAGGTTTGAAGAATGGTTACAATTCACAGAAAATGAGTCAAACTAATTAGACCAACTATTTCTACCTGGAGTTAGAATAGGGTGCTCATTCCACTGGGAAGAACAAAGCTGTGCATCTCCAACAGCCTAAAGCTTGCAGAAAGCCAGTGTAGTGTGGCAGGTCACAGAACAGAATAAAGAGCAGCTCCAGGAAAAAATATTGCCATTTGTTCGGATTCTGCTTTACCTTCTGTTGCCACTCCTGGGCCTCACTCTCCTTCTTCTGCCTGGCTAGCTCCAGCTGCGTGATCCTAGCTGTGAGTTCTGCCATCTCAGCAGCCTGCAAAAGAAAGGATTTTAGTGTGGACAAAACCCAAGCATCTGCTAAATGAAGTGTTTAGTCCAAGCCCTGAAGGATAAAGCTTTTTTGTATACTTTAGTCCCACTGATATCTCCATGATGCAAAGGAAGAGGAAGCCAAGAAAGTTTTTGCAGAGCTACAGATCTCTCTTCTTTGAGCCCAAGCCAGAGAAAGCAATTAGGGAGCTCCACACACTTTTCTCGACACTGCTTACAACAGCGTGCAAAGAGCACCACAATCCAAATCTACCGTACAAATATACTTGCATTTAGGCACAAGCTCATCTGCCTGAGGCTAAAAACTAAAAGAACCAAACCATGCCTCCCACTATATTCATAGTCGGGTTTGCTCTGAGAACTTAGATCCCTACCCTGCCACTATCTTCCTTACCAGATTTTCAGCTCATCACTTACCAGTTGTTCCTGGGTCTTTTGTTGATCATGGGATGCTTTCAGGAGGGCTTCCTTTGCCTCTTCTGCTTCTCGGCGTTCTTTAGCCAGTTTCTCTGCTTCCTCCTGAGCTCGTTTCCTTTCCTGTTCCAGCTCCATGGCTCTGCGGGTCTGTTCTTCCAGTTCTGAAAGAACAGCAGAGTGCATTTGAAGAGAAATCAAGTATAGAATGGCAGTAGAAGGTGCCCGCACCCCTTCCTCCTGGATGCGGGCTTCCCTTCACAGGAACAGGTACAGGAGACATGCAAGCAATTCCTCCCCTTCACGTACAACTGGAGCTGGAAGACTTAGATGCCGGCTGATGTGACAGGTACTACGCTTCCTGACTTCTTCCTCTCACAGGGGTGCTGGGATAAAGCTTCCAAGCCAGCACATGAACAGCTACAAGGTACTCTGGCTGTCAGAGGCAGCCTGGCTGCCACCCATCTCCCTAATGCAAGCCATACTTCAGCAGTTCCAGACCTGATCTTCAGAAGGCTAAATCAGTTCTGCAAAAACAGAGCCCTAACGCCACTTAGCACACAATACCGGAGTGCCAAACGCTTCAGCAAAGCTCCTAGCTTTACTACTCAGTAACCCTTCTCACTCAGAATATGCATTTAGGAAATACTCTAGTATTCCCACATTACCTTGCTGAGCTTTCTTGGTTTGCTCCTCAATTTGCTTGAGTCTCTCCATTAACTCCTCTTTCTCACGTTCAATCTTCTCCTTCTCTTTTTCTGCCAACTCCCTCTTCTTCTTCTCATTCTCCAGCAGGGCTCTGATGAGGGGGAAAGTCACAATGCAGTTTAGCATTAACAGCTACTCAGCTGGAGCACTTCCTGGTAAAGCTATGAGCATACCAGAGATGTGCACTATAGCACTGAGCTGATCAGCTTTAATCCAGCTGTATCCCTTTAAAGGGAAACGCAGACAGAAAAAGCCCTGCTGACGTTTATCTCAATGGGGCATCCATAACAGCAATGTTGCCAAGAGAAAATGCCTCATATCAAGATTCAGATGAGTCCAGTCAAATAGACGGACATATATTTAACTTAAAACCCTGGCAGTGAGTCACCCTTGTAATGAGTGCTATTTCCATCATCCTGTTAGATCTACTGAAGCAGAAAGCAACCTGCCCTATTTTTGGCTCAAGCAGATTAATAATAAGGTGCTGTTAGCAATTTTGCTAGCACATGACACTACTGTGCAGTGATCAGCCAAGTCCAAGTTATGTAGAACCCTACCAACCTCTCCATCTGTTTCTGATGCTTCTCTTCCCGAGCCTGCGCTTTCATCTGCTGTACCTCAATGGTATCTGGTTTACGTCTGCGCATGTAGAGCTCATGGTTCCCCATGCAAAGTGCCAAGATTCGCTTGTTAATCCGTAACCGAGGGGCGTAGAATACAAAGTCCTTGGAACAAGGAGATGGCAGCATTAGACTTATTCCTTCAGTAGAAACAGCCCTCTGTGAATGCAATACACCTCAAAACCCTGAATTTCCTAGAATTGTTAGGCAGCTTTTCTCACCAGTATTTATCAGGGCTGGTAATGAGATACATGCCTTTCAGGAATTAATTTCAATCTGATAAATGCACACAGGGCAGAAGTGCCCGACTTGCCGTTACAGCATGCTGTGCTTCACTGTAAAGCAGTTCTAGTACATAGAGTATTATATCAAGTTAGAGTCATGGTTTTATTACAAACATAATCACGGGCTGGTTCGCCAGACACACCGTAACTATGACTTGCCCCACCTTTCCTCCCACGTGGTTATTTAATGCAATGGTCTTGCCAACCACATGAAGTGTAATGTTTTGTCTTATGCCAGAACGAGTGTTAAACATTATGTCTTGTGGATAAATAACTTAACTTTGTTCTGTTAACAAGGAGCAACAGCAGCAGAAAAACGTATTCCAAGCAGCAGTGAAACAAGCAACCAGAGGAAGAACAGAGGTGTCAGCAGACACAGGAAAATTAAGCACCTTGAAGATGAAACCGAGCTCAATTATGTCTGTTAAAAATCTAGAAGAAAAGAACGTGTTCCTAGCATACTCTACAAGATGACGTGAAGCTTCAGTTTCAAATAAGGTGACAAACACTACACTTGAGGAAAACTGCAGAAGACTTTCCTGCACACTACTAAATCTGACAGGCTGCATAGGAAGCATTCACTTCTAACATAGGTCCCTCAGATGTAGCAGCAGAGAACTGAGCGGCCTTCAGAGAACCAGAAACCCTAAGCCAAGAGCCTCTCCCACCGACTTTGAATAGCTCAAGGTTAGGCTAAACAACTTTCTCTTCTCCTGGCCAGAGCTAAACTCCATCTACCTGCTATTAGGCCCATTCTGTGCATACTGCCCTGAACAGATTAGGTAGCAAGTAATGCTGATATTATTGATAAAGAGACTGCATGCAGTAAAAAGCCTGATCATTCAACAGGAAAAAAAAAAGTTAAAAAAAAAAAATAGTTCAAATGTTGCATCTTACTGGTGCTTTCTTGTCAATAGGCTTGATAACAAACTTCTTGTCATTGAATGAGATATTTCTGATCTCACTCCAAGGGAATCCAATTTTCGGCGTTAGTCTGCAGAAATGGAAAGGAAAGGAGATAGAAGACCCAAGTCATTCCAGAGTCTTGACCTTTAATGCAAAGCCTAAAATTCTGCCAAATCAGCCCTCATGATATTTTAGTACTCTAATACTGACTGGAATCAGCAAATAAAATTGGAGACTTGTAAACATGAACTACAAACATAGGAAACAGTTCCTCAGCACCCTCTCCCTCCCTTTTTTTTGCCCCCTCCAATAGAAACTGTAACTGAAGAATGCATCTGTGGCAGGAAAACTTGGGATGCAAGTGAAATGAGCTTGATGAGATTTGACAGCTTCTTCAATTTTTTAGTCCAAAGCAGCACGTTTTATGAAAGTGTTTCCTCACATCAACTGTTTATGTAGTGGATTAACTACTGGATCTTTCAGGCTATGTCAGAAATGCAGCCAAGAATGACACAGAGATAGTAGGGTTTAGTTTAACATATTTGACTTTCAAAAAAAAAAAGATTTTGAATATTCCTTTGTACTGGAGAGAAGCTGAAGGCAGTGACAAAAAAAGAGAGGTTTTATTACCTGTCATTCTGCTCGTAAATGTTGAGTCCAAGAGCATCTACACCTAGCCAGAGTTCAGAGCCCTTTTTGTTCTTAATGCTGAAGTAGTTCACACCATACATTTCCAGATCCTGTGCAATTTTCAGGTACTCCAACACAGCATCTTCTCTGCAACATGCAAAAAGAAAGCAGATATTCTTTTCTCAGTCCATATAAGCCATTAGAGCAAGAAGGTGCTATCTTCCTACGTGGATACAGCAGCAACAAGCTGAAAAAGTTCCAAGTATCATCCTGGAAGATAACAGTGGACAAGCTCAGCAAGTTTAGCTTTGTTATATTATGAACAGCCAGCCAGTGTAGACTAGCAAGGGTAGAGGTACGTGAACCTAGTTATTTTTCAGCAGAATAACCTGAGGAATGCCAGCACCCATCCCGGAGTAAGCTGTGGATTTGTACACTGATGTTATGCACTAGCATATTCATACTACTTTACATTCAGCAGTTCCACATTGCATCAGTTACCTAATCATTCCTCGATGTTCCTCATGCCACACCTGGATCCTCTCCTCCCACTGGTCCTTGTTAAGTTTGTGCTGCTCCAGAACTCTGGAAAGGAAACGGAAGCGCATCAGAAGAGCGCATGGGATGTCTGAGACCAACCACTACATCTACGTACGTGCCGTCACATCACTCCTGAGCAACACTTCATTGAGTACTCCATTAGCACACAATTCCTCCACACAGGTGGTCCAAGATATACTTTTATTACAAGGCTAGCTAGGGACACAGGAGTAAATACTCAGACTTCTGTCAAACGACAAATCACACTCAGTTGTGTTTCCTCTTGTACCATTACATGTTTATTTTTCAGAGCTTCTCCCACTACTTCTGATTAGAGTTTCTTCAGCAGCAACGGGATCTTTAAGATTAAAGCTCTTAAGTGAATACCATTCCTCATGCTCGTGGAGAAACACAAGGCTGGATTTCATTCTGTACAGTCCAATCAAGGCCAAAAAATCCCCAACCCTTTAGGGCACAGAAGCTTAAGACTACTAGGTAGTCACTTACCTCTGTGGGAGCAGTTTATCATTAGCAAGGTAGCCAGGCTTGTGTGCCTCTTTGTTAAAGTCTCCATATTTTGACTGGACAGCATAAGAAGCCAGGAGGACAGCTGTTTCTGGAGGGCAATAAATGTCATCATTCAGGATTGCCTCCTTCACTTGGAGGAAGAAGAGGCGCTGTGTGATGTCCTGGATCAGCTCTTCTGCCACATCCTCTGGGTAGAACTTGGCACGGAATTTGAAGAGCAGGGGGCTTTCTTTGCGCACATCCTGTGCCGTCACCTGCGGTGACAGAATTTATCAGATTTTACAGACAACACACCAACTGAAGGGGAGCAGGTTTATGGAGAGAAGTAGAATACAAGCATGCATTAGAAAGAAAAACCTCCTTCCCAGTGCAGAAGTGAACATGCAGAGAAGCAGGGATTTTCAACTCCCTGCTGTTAAACATTGCCTCTCCTCACCCCCTCTCCACAGCATTCATGGCAAGCCACAAGTTCTAATCAGTGCTAGATAAGCTCCTCTCCAGGTTTCTCTCCAAACAAGAGCACCACATTAGCCACTATAGGGAATAATAACAGATCTGTCTGGATAACAAACAGGACTAAATGTGGGAAGAACAGATCGGGCATCGTGATTCCTCCTTCCCCGGGGCGGGAGGGGGGAGGTCCTGAAGAAAAGCAATGCCAACTCATTAATCTTGTATTTCAGGTTTGCAGAGAAGCAAGAATAGATCCCTAACATGAAGACTAAGTCTGCACCTGTCCTCCAAGAGATAGGAGCCCAAAACAGATGACAGCTTGAAGCATACATACCTTTTTGTTCAGTTTCAGCCATGTTGAGAAGCCCTTGGTGTCCTGATACTGAAGTCCAAAAAACCAGACCTCTCTTAGACCAATTGTCTTCACAACCTGCAAGAAAGATTATTAGCAAGAGCCCCTGCCACAGGAGCTGTGCTCACTAGCAGCAGAAAGCACAATTACAGATTAGGACACCTGCCTTTCTAATTGTCTTCGGAACTTGTGTTCTGCTTCCCCTGCTACTATGCCAATACAAAGATACTAAGGCACCTGAGGGGTCCCAAGTGGGAGTACTGTATTCACCCGTCTCCTTCACCTTGAAATTTTGTTGCTTTCTAAAAGCCACAGCTGGAATATCGTTTTGTTCAGCCATCTATAAGCCAACACACATAGCCAAAATGAGATGCAAAGGATGGACAGCTGCAATAGCTGCCAGAAATTAACACTTCAGCTCCATTTTCAGGTACACCCCTCATTTGTCATGCAAATGCACTACTTCTGCGCAAGCCATGAATAGCACTGATAGGATGCATGTCCTAAGCTGTGCTATTCTAAGATTTATACTTTACAGTACCTATAACTATAGACAGGCTTTTCATGCAGCTGCTTAACGAGTGGCACCATGAAGAGGTACTGCATTAAGTCAATACACTTCCCTCATGTCAGGGCAAAGAGCCCCGCAGGGATTACCTGCACTGGTACGTAAGCTCTCTCCTTAGTCATGTCCTTAGCACGCTATAGATGCTGTGTAAATAAGAGTTAAGAAGGCTTTACAGACATATTGTGACATCAAGAGCCCACCCAATGTGGGGCAAGACTACTGCAGAATAATACTATTTCTGGTAGAAAGGAGGGGGGAAGTTTCTTGATAGAGCTTCCTCACAAACACAAAACCAGAGCTTTGTGCTCTGGCAAGTCTGAGGCGTGCCACAGGATTGAGCAAGTCCAGACACTGACGTTCCCCCATATCCCTCCAGAAGCCTGGGACGTTCTTCTTACACCGGTGAACAAGGGGGAGTGGTGGGAGGGGTGCGTCATCTGTCCCCCAGAAGTTTACCTGTCACCTCTATTACTAGACAAGAGAGGAGGAAGACAATGACACTTCTGTTTTTAGAAGGTCTACACTGTACTTAGAGGACCGCTTTTACGCACTGCCCAGACCCTGTGCTTGCTTGCAGCTCCCCTCCACCAGAGACTCAGGGTCTTAACAAGTTGCAGAAGAGGATTTAGTGCTGCCTTGCCCCATACGTATGCTCTCTATCCTAAGCCCCTTCTTCCTTCTAGATTACTTCCTCACTGAATCCCAAGGAAGCACTCTGTCCCCTTCCGATGTGATCGATGGCATTGGCATGATACGACACATTAAGGATATAGATTCCCTGCAAACACATTACTAGTTAGATTCTTTACGGCTTGGGTCAGAGCTTTCTTCTGGTCTGACAAAGCAGCACTTGGGCCCTTGCTCCTTTCAGGCACACAAAGCAAAGGGAGCTTTCATCAGAGGCATGCCATTAGTAGCGCACATATGCATACAAAACCTACGCAAGGCTGGTAGTCTGTATACATCATCCTACTAGAGTCCATGAAAGTATTCACCCTGCCCTTGTTGGAATATGAACTGGAGCGCTGCCTCAAGTCTGCAGTAAACACAGGGAGAAAGTGGGTCAGATAAACCTTCACTTGTGACTTGTATGTGTCACTCAGCAGGATGCACTCAGTTAAGGGGGCTTTCAGAGGAGCATTAGAAGTTGCCACATATGTATTGAAAGCATGTGGTACAAAGAGAAGTAGAAAGGTTGTCCTGAAGCTTAAAAAAGGCTCCTTTCTCAGCAGCATTAACATCTGAATGGGATGAGAGCTCACCCCCGCTGCTGCATGTGTCTGCTTGCCTCACTTTCATTTGTCAGCAGCTTAAGCCTGGGAGTTCAACACACTGAACTGCCAGCAAGGAACCAAATGGCATCACACTGGGGCCCCTGCACAAAAGGACTTTTATTCCCAGCAGAGAAGTCTGCACAGCAATAGCAGCGGCAACAATAGGCTGGACGGAGAGGGGGAGACAGCAACATCATGCCCTCAAACTGCTTTCCGAGTTCCATTGAAGGGCAATGCAGTTCCTGCTCTGGAAACGTGAGCTGTAAAGCAAGGCATGTTCTTGCTTGTTACCTGAGCATGGACCTGGCCCATTTAGCCTTCATCTGAAGCTGCTTTCTAAGTAAGTGCACACGAAGGTAAGCCTCTGTCAAGTGAAGGGAGAGGAAGGAGGAGAGGTATTCCTCCTCTATCCTTCCCACCCCAGCTTTAAGAGGCTATTTAGTTCCTTTTGGCAAGGGAAAAAGAACAATCCAGGAGGAGAGCTCTCTGCAGCCACAAGGAATCTGGCTGGCAGTTAGCAGCCCAATTATCAGTCTGCTTTTGCTTGGGGGCATACAGCATTCAGCTTCCTGATTAACTACAGGGGTTTCAGAAAAGCAAACAATTATTGGTAGTGGCTATGGATGGATGAAAGCTGGCATAGGGGAATACTAAGAGTACTCCTTAACACAGATCACTTTACTTAAATACTCAAGTTTAGTCTCTAGGCTGGACAGAGTACCATCTTCCTCCTGCCAGGGAGGACATTTAGTCAGTCCCAGGCTCTTGTTTAGCCTGCAGTACAAGGCTTAAGTCTTCAACTGGCAACAGATTATAGGCAACCTTTAATTCTAGCTGTCACACACTACCTTGACCAGCTATAACAAGGCACTTCCAGCACCATTAGCTTAAAGTGACACTTGCTAAGTACTTAAGTCCCTCTTCCTCTACCTTCAGGGAGGAGGTACATTTCTAGTAACCCCGAAGCCATCTTCACTTTTTAGAGATAGCCTGGGCATATGACCAATACCATTCTTTTCAAATGTTTAGAAGAGAAAATGTAACCTGTTCTCCTGCTCCTCATTTTTCCTGCTCCACTTTTCCCAGGTCTATATGACTTCACTTTTTTCCACTTCCATCCTTCTCCTGAAGCATGCACCCTTCTCCCTCCTGACTATGTTCTTGCCACTGCATGCTGCCGCAAAGCAGGAGAGCCACAAGTAGGCTTCTTAAACGTAGGGCTTTGGCATTAAGATTGGGCTGATGATTGCCCTCATTCTCAGCCCATAAAATACACCACCACACTTGCAAACAAGCGTGGAACCTGCATGAAAGCAGCATCCACACAAGGGAAAGACTAAAGCGTGCAAGCGGAGGGAAGACACACCACTCTGGCCAAGTCACTGCTCCAAAGACCAGCACATCAGGTTATACCATAGCACATAAAGTTGAAGTCTTGAATCTCACCTGCTCTACTGCTTGAAAATGAAAAGGGCCTGTCTCCCTTTCTGTATCATGGGCAAGTCAAACACTTCTGTGGGAAAAGCAGGGTACCAGCAAACCACTGCACTGGAGGAGCTCTGAACTGGTGGCACACCTAGTTTCATACGCCATAGTTCTTCTATGCAGGCTAGTAAAGAGGGCACTTAGCAGGTAAGCGTTATTTAATCACCCTGCTCTTACTGACATTCAAACACTCCCTGCCATTGCACAAGCACTCTTCCTTGATTAGACCATGTAAGTGCAAGTAATCATCAGCAGACCCAGGTGTTATTTGGTTTCATTTCCTCATAGGATTTTGGTGGGGAAGAAGGGGAAGCCTTCTCTCAACTACTGTGGAAAGCTGAACACATTATTGACTCAGCCAGTGATTTAGGTGTTCAGGCATGTTATGCCCAAATCAAGTGTGGGTGGAAAGGAGTAGAGGTAAGAGTGGAATTTATAGGAAGAAAGCTCCTTTTAGTTCAATTGAAAATGAGGAATAAATCACCAAGAACGTGAATAAGCCCAAGAATGAAGTAATTCAGGACAAGCTACTATCACTTGTGCTGGTTCTCTTCTAATCTTCCTAGATTTAAACTGTCCATGCAAGACTACCATGCCTCCAAGCATTCAGATCATCAGATAACCTATGAACAACTACTCTCCTTTTAAGCCTGTTCTTACTAGTTCACAGCATATCATCTTGCTTAAAGCCCAAGTTTCTCAAATAATTTGTAATGCTTACAGAAAATTAAAGAACTTACGCCTTAGAGGAAAAGAAAAAAAATACTTTTTGCTATAAGTGACACAGTTTAAACTATTTATGATTCAAAATAAATAAGATGTGTTTATCGGATCGTTGTTAAGTTTTTCCACAGGCCAAATGTTGGTTAATTCCTCGGCAGCTTGTTGCACCACTTCGGCCATGTGAAATTAACTTCACCCTCCCTTGCAACAAGCACTGGGGAAAACCTGCATCTCTCCCCACTCCCAGACACACACACACACAAACAACAGCTACAGCCACCCTGGGCATTCAGGGACACAACTCAGCCAGATATTAGACACCGACGCTGTCCTTGTCAGACACCAGCTTGATACATCCTGGTGATTTTGTTCTGCTTTGAGCGCTTGTCCTCTGGAATGACAGCTCACTGGTTGTATAGGGAAGAGACTCTAGATATCCAACACCTTTCTCCCTAGGCACAAGAGAGGAGGTAAGTCTGGTAACCTTGAGTAATGGCAAAATAGAGATGCTTTGAGTGTCAGGACTGCCTGCAACTTTTCTGTGTTGGAAGGCCTGAGAGCTCTCTTCTACAGAAGCAGCTGAATGATCAGGTCCTCCAACTTCCAAGCTGGGCTGTGCTGTGGTTACAATAAGCAGTCACCTGTCCCATGTTTTTGGAAACTTTCCTATTTCCATTATTCTGCGGAAGACTGATTCAAATATCCACAAAGCTGCAGAGCAGCCTGCTAGCCTTCCCTTCAATTAGAATTCAGCTTGAAAAAAATCAGGCTTAAACTTATGGAAACCACAGTTCTTGCATCATCCTTGGATTGCAAGGAGCTGAAATACAGTTAGTGTGGCTCCAAACTTATTACCTGCCTGTTAACCCTGACCTCTGTTTTTACATCTGTTACCCAGGTAGCCACACACATTGAAAACTTTCCAGAAGACCCATTAATGGCTACACAAAACATAGTGGTTAATTACAAAGGTTCACTGAGCACTGCTCTCAGCAGAGCATTTTAAATTTGCCAGATAGTCGGTTCCC